GGTGACCGGGGCCAGCGCCAGGCCGCGCTGACGGGGGGCTCGCGGTGACCGGGGCCAGGCTGTACAGACTGCGGGATGGCAGAGACCGGAGCTCACCTAGATCCCTCGCTGACTGTGCTATTCCACATCGCCGTTCTGATTGTGCTGGTTCTCGGGTACCCGTGGCTCCTCCTCGCAGGGTGACAGCTCATCGATGGAAGTCTGGTTAGTGATCCCTGGGGAGACAGGGCATTTGGGGCACTGGGGACAGCTCACAAGATGGGCCTGCAGGGACCCTGCTCCGGATGGAGCTAGTGCAGGTGGCCCATTGGCTCCACAGCCCTTGCTTAGTGCCATCTGCATGCGGACGGAGCTGAGACCTGCCAACTCGTCTCATGCAGGGCCGTCCTGTAGCCTGTGTGGACTGAAGCGTCCAGCATTTCTCCATCTCACTCCACTTCCCTGCATTGGTCTGATTTGGAATGAAGTGACCAGCCTCTGCTCTCCCCTGCTCCCACGAGCACCCTCAGCCCGATGGGCCTGCCACTGCCACAGCTCAGAGCCCACTTGCCACCCACCGCCGGACCCTTCGTCTCATGCACCATGGCCCTTGCTGGGACCGGAGAGGGGGTCACACTGCCCTCAGGCTGTCCAAACCCACAGCCAGGGCAGGGGGCGGGGGTAGGGGGTGCAAGCCCCCTGAGGGTTTCTCAGACTGGACTGGTGGGGAAGGGTCTCTCCACAGAGGGCTCCCCCGCAGCCTCCCATGCCCAGCACATACCACTGGCCGCTCGTTCTTTCCACTTCTGCTTGTTCTCCTGGATGTACTTGCTCCAGGTGGAGCGGAAGCTGGTGATGTCGGTGTTGATGTCGCCCAGCTCTGAATGCTCGTCCAGGGAATGCTGCCTCCATTGGGAGCTGCGGGGAAGCCAGAGGGGGCAGCGCCAGTGCAGTGTGGGAACCACTCAGCACCACACCAAGGCTGGGAGCCCCAGCAGGTGGGATGGAGGGGCTGGGGCGAGGACCTGGAGGGCTTATCTCCTCCTCTCCAGCCTGTGCTCAGGGGAGCTGCCTGGAGTAACCAATAACCCTGAATGCACCTGTTCCCGGGCACCCCACAGCCCTCCTGGCACAGAGGGGAAACTGAGGCACAGGAGGCTATGTGACCTGTCCAGGTTTCACACACAGGAGGGAGACAAGACACCTGCCTCACAGCTCCCGTCCCTTGCACTGAGCACTAGGCCCCACGGCCGCTCCGGAGCACCTGCTCAGTGTGGGTCTGACGTGAGACTGGCATCTAGCAGGGGGAGCAGGGGGCTGCCAGCCCAAAGCCAGGCACTGCTGCCAGCTGGGAGGCTCTGCTGGCACTGACCCCGGTGAGGGGGTGGCCTGGAGCTAGCCCAGTGCTGAACAAGTCTGACCGGACCCACTGCTCCTTCCCAGGGCTCCCCGCAGCCCCGCTGGTGTTACGCTCAGGGCCAGCAGGGGGCGCACTCAGATCGCACACGAGGCAGCTGGGAGCTGGAGCAGCAAACCACTGCCAGGGAGGGGTGGACTGTGCCTGTGATGGGGGGGGGCAGACACAGCCAGGCGAACGTCACACAAAACGTGTTCAGGCTTCATGGTGTCGTGTCCAGCGGCCGCCCCCACCACCAACCTCCTGGTCTTTGGCCACTTGTCCTGTGGCTAAGGACGCCTGGGCTCCGCCCCCCGCTCTGGGAGGGGAAGGGGCTCTAGGGTGCTGAAGCAGGGGGGGCTGAGAGCCTGGGCTCTGTCCCCACTTCTGCCACTTGTCTGGGGCCTGACCCAAAGTGCATTCAGGCGACTCTGGATCAGGCCCCTGGGCTCACTGCCTCAGTTTCCCCTGGGGGAAGCGGTGATAATGATGAACATGAGCCAATAGGGAGGCTCGGTGACTTCATGTCTGTGAGGCTCAGGCACTGCAGCCTGGAGCCATCGGCAGGGTCCCAGCTGGGTCGCTCGCCTCCGGCTCTCCGGCTCTCCGGCTACAGGGAAGCTGGCAGGCGCATACAGAGCAGCGGGGAAGCTCTGAAGTTGGGCTGTGACTCCCCGCTCCAAGTGAATCATTTACTGACTTTGCCCCGGGCCAGGCTTGCTCCTGATCCCTGCTCCCCAGCGCTGGGTGGAGATAAAAGGGCTTTGGAAGGGACACCTTGAAATTCCCCTTCTTCACACAGAGAGAAAGTAGGGTCGCCGGGAGCTCCTGCAGGGCCCAGCGGGGACACAGGCAGGGAGCGCACCTAGGAACCTGCCTTTCCTGTGGGGCAGGTCAGGGCCAGGGCAGACTGGGATGCAGCTCAGCCTGAACCAGCATTTTGGGGCGGTCTCCGGAGTGGCTAGTTTCCATATTCCTGAGGCTTGGGGGGCGGGGGGGAGACTTTCAAAGTCCTGTCTGGAGCAGAGATTGGCGCCTCGCTGGCCTAAGGACGTGCTGGGTACTGCCAGGTGGAGTATTCAGCCCGGTCCCAGAGCTCCAGCAGGGGACTGCGCCCCGGGAATCTCGGGAGGTAGGAAGGGCTCTGGGGGTGCTAGGGCTGGTGTGGGTACCGTCGCCGAGCTCAGGGAAATTCTGGGACAGTGCTCAGTGCTCTGAGCTGGGCACCGGCCAGATGCCCACTGGTAGGTCTCACTCACATGCTCAGGTCAAACCAGCAGGGACTTTGGGGTCAGGGGTTTGCCTTCCTCTGCAGCAGGGAACAAGGATCACCTGCTGAGATCCTCTGGGCAGGTCCCACTCATCAGACCCCACCCTGTCAGGGCCCTGGGGCATTGGCAACATGTCGAACTCCCTGCTCTGTCCGTGGCCCACAACAGCTTAGCTCCCCATGCTCAGACTAAAGTCACCGGGCTCCAGAGGAGTGGCCGGCTGTTGGCCAATGCACCTGGCCTCCTGCACAGCACAGGCCAGTGAGCTGCCGGTCCATGCTGGCCTTAACCTATGGAGCAAGGGGAGACCCCGGCTCGGCTAACTCAGCTTTGCTAGGAGTGGCAGCATCTTCCACAGGGGGAAACTGAGGCATTGGCAGGGAGGGGTTACCTGCAGCCACATCATCAGTAGCAGAGATGGGAGCAGGACACAGGTGTCCTGCTGTCCAGTCTCACAGGCTGCACTGCCTCCCAAGGCCCCAGGGCTCATCCAGCAGCACCAGCCTACATGGGGGTCTGGCTCCTCTGGGCAGCACTGGTGACTACCTCACTTTACCGCCTGGCCACCCTTTCAGTCCATGGACAGTGGGTGGCCCTGAGGACGGGGTCCGAGGACACAGGCCCATCTAGCCCACTGGGTGCCCCCCCTCCCTGGGAGGAGCTGGCCCAGCCCTGCAGACATCCCCTCCAAGCAGCTCAGAAACAAGCCGAACGCACAGCCGGAATGGAGACCCCAGCAGAAGTGCTGCAGTGCCATGGGACGTGGGCTCTCGGGGTGATCACTGCCTTTTCCTGGCATTCGCTACATTTAAGCCCCAGCCGGCTTGAGACTGTAGGAGACTGCTCCCAAGCTGGGGCCTCAGGCCAAGATGCAATTTCTGGGCAAGAGCAGGGACAGAGCCCCTGTGTGCCCCCCACTTCCCAGAACAGCCAGTGCCCCAGCGCTGGGCCCCCAGGGCTGTGGGAGACCTGCGCTGAATTGGGCTAAGCAGGAGCCTGTGTCCCCCACAGCCCCAGAGAGCGCCCCGGCATTGGGGTGCATCTCGCTTGCTCCCTGGGCTTTTGTCCAATAGGTTCAAAGGTCTCGCTTCTGGCCCAATACGGTACCCTGGGCAGTTTTCACACCCTGGAATTCTGGTTTTCTGGGCAGCCCCAGTTCGCCCCTCTCCCCCTGCCCCTTCCTGCGGAGAACACTTGGATCCCCCTCCCCATCCCCACTACGGGTACAATGAAGAGCTCCCTTCCCCCAGAGCAATGAGGGCTGCTGTGACAGCCTGGCCCTGGCCTGTGGGTTCTGCCCAGGGGTTTCAGGTCCTAGGTCCCAGCAGTGTCACCACCTCCTGAGGGAGGCATGAGGCCCACCAGGCCCAGCTGGGGCCCAGAGCTGGTCAGCCAGCAACACTCCAGAGCCGGTGGCACTGGCTGGGAAGGAACCAGTGAGGGGCCTAGGCCGCCCCCACTGACCAGACTTCAGCCAGGACTCACAGCTGCTCTGCCCTGCCCTGGGGATCCCTGCGGTCAGAGGTGAGCCAGCACCTGCCCTTCCCTGGGGCTACACTCCCCCAATGGGGAAATGGCACAAGACGCATGGGCTGGACTGGGCCTATGGGCTGTGTGCACAGCCTCAGAGCCTGGACTCCTGGGTTCCAATCCCAACTCTGCTATAGGCTTGCCATGTGATTACGAGCCAGGCCCTTCCCTGCCTCAGTTTCCCCAACTGCAATGTAGAGATAATGATATAATCTCTGTGCCCAGCAGCCACTGTAAGGCTCAGCTCCTTGCCCCTGAGTGTGCTGGGGGCCTACATGGGCCTGTGTGCTAGTAACACCCTCCTGAGCTTTCTAGCTGCTCTGCGCCACCCATGCCAGCACCCACCTGCTCTGCTGGCTGGAGGAGGACTTAGTCTTGGAACCTTCCTCCACCAGCGGGAGAACAATCTTCTCCGCCACGTCTGTCAGCACCGAGAACGTTGGCTCCACGATGAAATCAATGAAACCTGCGGAGGCAGAGGGATGGGGCGTTAGAGCACGACGCACCCAGTGCCCCAACATGAGGGCAAGGCCTGGCCCGACGGGCAGGGCAGCGACTCACCAATCTGGGACTGGGCCACCAGTGTGGACTTGCGATCACAGAGCGGAGAGAAGGGCAGGCCCAGCTCAGCCTCCTTGTCCCCCTGGGAGAAACAAGGCAAAGAGAACGGTTAACCCTGCCGAACGCCTGGGCCCTGGGGGGACACGAGCAGCCTGAGCGCAGGAGAGGGGTGCAATGGGTGACTGCTCTGAGCGTGGGACACACGAGCCAGACGCCTGGGCTCAGTTCTTGGCTGGTCAAAACACAGCCCTGGGGGCAGGACATGGCCTCGCTCTGCACCCATCTGCCTGCGTCGCCTGGAGCAAGGCTGGGTCACCCAGGGTCTGGAGCTGCAGATGCCAGCGGGGATGAGTCCCTAGTGATGCCCCCTGGCAGCGCAGTTACCACATGGCGGTCGTGCCCCACGGCAGTGCAAACACCATACAGCTGTTGCACCCGTAGTCGCACAGCACTGGAGTCACCACTCGGGCCACACCCCATTGCTTCGTGTTATCACATGCCCCACAGACAATTCTGCCCCATGGCCATATGGAATAGGAACATAAGAACTGCCATATGGGTCAGGCTGAAAGTCCATCTGGCCAGTGCCCCATGTTTTGACAGTGGCCAGTGCCAGGTGCCCCAGAGGGAATGAACAGACCAGGGAATTGTCAAGTGACCCATCCCGTCACCCATTCCCAGCCTGACAGTCCTTTTCGAATCCTGTTATAGTCTTGGCCTTCACAACATCCTCAGGCATCCTCTGTCCCTGTCCACCACATGGCTGTCACGGGCCCCGTGGCCGCATGCCATCGCACTCAGCAGTGACTGTTGTGTGCCCCGTGGCATCAGTCACCATGTGGCTGTTGCGTGCCCCGTGGCCACGTGCCATCGGAATCACCATGTGGTTGTTGCGTGCCCCGTGGCCACGTGCCATCAGAATCACCATGTGGCTGTTGCGTGCCCCGTGGCCACATGCCATCACAGTCACCATGTGGCTGTTGCGTGCCCCGTGGCCACATGCCATCACAGTCACCATGTGGCTGTTGCGTGCCCCGTGGCCACATGCCATCACAGTCACCATGTGGCTGTTGCGTGCCCCGTGGCCACATGCCATCACAGTCACCATGTGGGTGGCTGTTGGAAGAGAATGATCTCAAAATCCATTCCAATCAGCCTGTGCCTTGTTTCACCCACCCCGGAGCCAGAGGCAGCATGAGCAAGTGCAGTGAGTGCCAGGCTTGGGGCCATCATCTGCTGGCTCCCCTATCCCACCATGTGATCCAGGGCAAGCCCCTTCCCCTCAGTATGCCTCAGTTTCCTCATCAGTAAAATGGGGCTTGTGCTGTTTGCCTGGTTGGTGAGAAGCTAAGTTGGGTCTAACAGCAGTGGGAGGGTCAGGACTCCAGGGCTTGCTTCCCAGCTCCACTACAGGCTTTGAGCCACCTTCCTTCCTCTCCCAGGGCCCCGGCCCTACTTCTGGGCATCTCCAGCCCACAGCTCTTTGGCTGGGCTCTCTGCTGTCAGGGGGCTGGTTCAGAATCATGGCCCCAGCTCAGCAATGGCTCAGAAAGCGAGGTGGTACTCGAGAGCCACAGGGAAGCCTGTGCCCAACAGAGTGATCCTGGGGCAGGCCCACACTTGGGGGTGGACCAAGGAGGTCACAACGGGGTGGGAAGAGCTCCAGTGCCTCATCTGGGGTCACCTGTGTAAGCAAATTGACCATTCCTGGCCGAGAGGAGCCAGTTCAAGGGAGCTTTAGCAATGCTGTCCCACTCTCCGCATGCAGCCGGAGCCTGGCAGCAGGTCACACTGGAATCACTGGGGATCTCTCGCCACCTGAGGCAGGTTTCCAGGGTGAATGTTGTGGAGCTGCAGGCTCCTGGATCCCCTGAACTGCCTCTGGCCAAAGCCTGGAACCTCATGGGCTCGTTCAGCTTTCAAGGGAGCAGGGAAGAGGCCACATGACTCACTGTGAAAGAGCTAAAGGCGCTATTTAAGGGGATTTCGGGGGAGCCCCTGGATTTCATACTTGAGGTCTGTGTAACGCTGCATGCCCCAGCTCCACAGGCAGTTCTTAAATTCAACAGAGTTTGAGCTGCTTGCAGCTTTGCCTTTGGGGCAGGGAGTTTGTTATAAAAAGAGGGAGGCAGGTGATTAAGAATAACCAAAGGCTGGTCATTCAAGTAACTGAAGGATCCTTAGATCCTCATGAGAATATTGCCAGGTACTGCACTTACAAGACAGAACGGGAATGAGTGTCATGCTGCTGGGATTTGGACCAGTATTGTTAAACTTATAAATGTTCTGGAAAAAGGGGCAAACAGTGAGGTAGCAAAATTTATAGATAGTACATAATTACTCAAAATAGTTAAGTCCAAAGCTGACTGCAAAGAGCTACAAAGGGATCTCACAAAACTGGGTGATTGGGCAACACAAGGGCAGATGGAATTCAGTGTTGATAAACGCAATGTAATGCACATGGGAAAATATAATCCCAACTATACATACAAAAATGATGGGGTCTAAATTAGCTGTTACCACTCAAGAAAGAAATCTTGGAATTATTGTGGATAGTTGCCTGAAAATATCTGCTCAATGTGCAGTGCAGTTGCTGTCTAAAAACTAAAAAGCTAAAAGAATATTGGGAATCATTAGAAAAGGAGTAGATAATAAAACAGAAAAATGTCATATTGCCTCTATATAAAGTCATGGTGTGCCCACACTGTGAATACTGCATGCATCTGAAAAAGATAGATTGGATTTGGAAAAGGTACAGGCAGGGCAACAGAAATGATGAGGGGTAAGGAACAGCTTCCATATGAGGAGAGATTAACTAGACTGGGACTTTTCAGCTTGGAAAATAAATGACTAAAGGGTCGGAGGATGTGTCAGATGTCTAGAAAATTATCAATAGTGTGGAAAAATGGAATCAGGGAACATTATTTATTCCTTCACTAACATAACACAAGAAGCTGACCCAATCACATTTAAAACAAGCAAAACAAATTATTTCTTAACAGTCAACCTATGGAACTCTTTGCCAGGAGATGGTGAAAAGGTCCAAATTATAACAGGGTTCCAAAAAGGACAAAATAAGTTCAAGGAGGATAGGTCCATCCCAGGCTACTAGCCAGGGTGGGCAGAGATGGTGTCCCTAGCCTCTGTTTGCCCAAAGCTGGGACGGGCGACAGGGGATGGATCACTTGATGATTGCCTCTTCTGTTCATGGCTTCTGAAGCATCTGGCATTGGCCACTGATGGAAGACAGGATTCTGGGCTAGATGGACCATTGGTCTGACCCAGTAGGGCCATTCTGATGTTCTTATATAGCGCCCAAATGTATCTGCCTCCTGCTGTGACCCACTAGACCCCACTCCCCTTCCAGAGCTGAGATAAAGCCCAAGAGTCCTGACAGTCTCTCTCTCTCTCTCTCTCTCCCCGCAAAATTAGTAACAAAGTAAGACTATATATATTAACATTTTAAGGCTAACCAGCGTCCCTTAAGTGACTTGCCACAAGATGCCTGACCATGTTAATATTAGAGCTGAGTGGGTCTAATAGGGTATATCTACACTAGCCCCCTAGTTCAAACTAGGGTGGCTATTGTAGGCATTCGAACTTGCAAATGAAGCCCGGGATTTAAATATCCCGAGCTTCATCTGCATGTTCCCGGGCGGGCGCCATTTTTAAATCCCCTTAGTTTGAACTGACTGCTACACACGGCAGTCAGAAGTTAATCCGGACTAAGTCCTTAGTTCGGATTAACTGTTACTCCTCCTGCAATGAGGTGTTAAATCCCGGGTTTCATTTGCAAGTTCGAATGCCTACATTAGCCACCCCAGTTCGAACTAGGGGGCTAGTGCAGACATACCCGTATTTATTCCATTCTTTCTTTTATATAGAAATTAAAGACAGTGCTCCTGTCAGGTAATTGCTAAGTTATCTGCCAAAAACACTAGAGTTTTACAGTACCTAAGAGGTGATATCTGTGGGGGAGGGGGGGGGACAAATGGGATCAGTCCCCCTCAAATTGCTCCTTGGCTTGTACTGAGCATGCTCAATAACACTATTGAAGCTGCTGTCCTCAGTCTGCCCCAGTGCTCTCACTCTTCCCCCTCATCACAGGTCATCCTCCCCACAACCAAAATCTGAAACGATGCCATAGGCCTTGGGAAGTGGCTGGCCCTCCCACACTACCTGTCTGAAGAACTCCTCCATGAGAGCCTTGGTCCAGCGGCTGTGGACGCTCCATTGCTTGGTGGGGTGGCTGATGTCAGCTGCATGCAGCAGCAGCGACAGTGCTTTCGATTTATCGATCCTGCAGAGGGAGGCATGAGAGGCATAGACAGGTCGGCCCCAGGCGACCAAGAATTCACTGCATCCCCAGCCCGTTTTCCCAAGGGTTAAGTCTTCTCACTTAACCTTTTCTGCCTTTTTCTAGCCTGAATTTGCTGAGCTGCTGATTCAAGCCACTGGCTCCCACTCAGCCTTTGACAACAAAATTAAAGTGCTCTTCACTCTCAGAGATCTGCTCCCATGTAGGGATTACCAGACAGGAGAAGGTCAGCTCTCGCCCTGCTGTTTGATAAGCTAAGTAGATGGAGCTTCTTCAGTCTCGCCCTGGCAGGCAGCTTCTCCGGGCGCTGAATTGTTCTTGCGGCTCTTCGATTTGTCAGTGTCACACACACACACACACACACACACACACACACTTGCAGGCATATGTAGACATACATGGGGGTGTGCATACACACAGAGCTGCACAATCAGAGCATACAGGCACGCAAACACACACACACACACCCCTCCTCCCAGCACATAGCCCACTCCCAAAATCCTTGTGCAACACTCACAATCCTGTCACCCACATCAGCTGCACACAAAGCCCCACATGCTCATAAACTTCCTACGTGCACAAAGCATCTTTCCCATACTCCCCGCCAACACTGCCTCTTGCTTCCCCTAGAAGTAGCACTTTGCCTGGAAAGACACCCCCACGCACACCCCCACCCCTTCACTCACCTCTCCAGCTGCTGCAGGGAGGTTTTCATGGACTTGACCTGCTGGAAGTGACAGGACATGTCTGTGGCCAGGACCATCTCAATCACCAGGGACCGCAGCTCCCTTCCCCATGTGGAGAAACAGATGCGTGGTCACTCCTGTCCCGCCAGGGACCTAGCCCGTCCCACCTGCCCCGCCCACTGCATCCCATAAGCTGGCTCCTTTGTGGCTGCACTGTCAGCACAACCCAATGGACCTGAGCTGGCCGCTGCTGCCAGGGGTCCCCATTCAGGGGTCCCCAGCCAGAGACGGCTCAGAAATACAGCTAGTGTCTCAGACAGTGAGTTTCCCACCCCAGATCCCATCCCGTGCAGGGGGCTGGATGTGCCCCGGGCCCTCCCTGCGTGAATCTCAGGGTACGTCTACACTACAGCGCTAATTCAAACTAACTTAGTTCGAATTAGTTAATTCGAACTAAGCTAATTCGAACTAGTGCATCCAGACTAAAAAACTAGTTCGAATTAGCATTTTGCTAATTCGAACTAGCATGTCCACATTGAGTGGACCCTGAACCGGGGTTAAGGATGGCCGGAAGCAGTGCCGGCAGGGCATCAGAGTAGGACTTAGAGCGTGGAG